ACCAATTTAGGGGAGCCATGTAACTCTGCGGAGTGATGTCTATTCGTTTTGCGCTTTGGCGCTGTTTAAGTGCTGTTTTACCTTCTGGTGCATAGCGCCCTCTGGGGTTGAAGGTCTCCAGCGAAGATTAAATAGTTATGACGCAGTTGTAATGTGCGTCCACTTTCTCTAGTTTTTCATGACTATTAGCTGTGACCCGGAAACGAGGTATGATTTTATAGTTTTTTGAACATACACCGATTTCAGTCGATATGATTTTGTGTAATTTTGAAGTCTTTTGCAAGAGAAATCGAGAGTTTTCTGATCGTGAACCCGAGTGGTATAAAATGGTCGTGTCGTGTTGTGTTGGTCTGACCTATGACCCCAATTCGTTCGCACTTGTATTAGCTGTTGATGGCGTTTTACCGCACTATCTCATTCAAAATAATATGTTATTGTATTTGTGTACTTAAGATTGTTATTGTTTTATTTTGCTTCACAGTTTTACGTGATTGTGATTGCCAATGTGAACTGTGATTAAGGATCACATGACTGATTTATCGTGATTCATGTGAATAAGTTGAACACAGTGAAGAGTGAATAAAACGATATATTGGTGATATAGAACTGAGTGACTTGTCAATATCTTAATCGACACTCATCATATAACACACCTAGTATTGTAAATATTTTTATTTATTTTTTATTTGACGATTGAACATCAGCAAGCGTCGGTATATGATGGATTTTGGCATGTTGTCGTGATGCAATAGCCATTTTTGTGGACGATTAACGTCACTTTCATAAAACGGCCATTATCTCCGTTCGTGTTTCTGGTTGGTCAGAGAGATTGAAAATGAATTAGCTCCCACAGTTTTTGTCAGTTTGACTTGACATTTTCACACTATTTTGACAACGATTTAATTTTTCGTCCGTTTTCCTCGAATTGTAAATATTTTTATTTTATTTTTTTAACTGACGATTCAACATCAGCTAATTACGGTGTATGGTGTATTTCTAGGAGTTTCTGTTACACATATGAAGCGAATGATTCGTTTTAAAACTTTTTTTTACAAAATGGCGATTATCTCAGTTTCATTTTTTGCTCAAAATTTCAACTTTAAAACTATTTAACTTCAAGAGTTTTAAATAAGTGTTTTTAAAATAAAATCAGGGTATGCATTCAAAAGTTAAATAGTTTTAAGTGCACTTTCACCTAAAGTGCATAATTTTAACCCCAAATCAACACCACTTAATATGGTATTTTAGTACGTTATTGTAAACCATAAAACTCGAAAGTTTAAATTAAACTCTTTCAAATGATATATAACTTGATGGGTAAAAAATATATTTTACTCATGTAATTACAGTAATTAGAGCCAATTAGAAATATAGTCTCCCAACCTGCATCTCTACCTTAAGTTTATAGCTTTGTGGTTAATAGAATTGTTCTATTTTATATATACTATCACTAATGCATTGTGGTGTATTGACATGGTAACCACTATCATGAAGGATATCATTTCAGTTGCCCTTAACAATGAGTTTCAGCATTCAAAACAATAATTATACTATGCATTTGTATTACACTTTTCGTGATGAATCTAAGAAAATATTATCACAAGATATTTTATTTCTAAAATTATATCTTTGTTTCATGCTTATACGGTGATTTTGGTAATTTTATTGTGAAACGATGCATAAATGCTGCACATATTGTTGCATTTACTCAAACATATTAGAATCACCACTTTGACTGATGTATTACTGATGTAACAATATTACTAAAAAGTTCTCGATAATATATTCATTTACATATCTTTATTTAACTTCAACAGACGTGAATGATTGTATGGCTGTATAACGACGACGATTTGGATAAAAGACTGATGGATCAATCTATGATGTGATCAAATCAGATTATACATGAGATCTGTCAATGTTAGCCTAATTGTGTTTGGATAGGTATTACTTCAAGTTTTGCAATGTTGTTGAATGAGGCTGCAATATATAAATAAACGCAACTGGTCCAATTTGGAATACAGGTTATATTCATATATATGAATGCGCTATTCAACGAGTTTCAAGAAGGCAAATTGTGAACAATGATTTGCAATCCAGTTTAGTAATTTGTATGCAACAAGGGTAGCTTTTGTGAGTAATTGCGATTGAAGAACAGAATTTAATCGAATTAATTGCGTAAAATATAAACACATGACAGGCAAGGCCACCGACCGGCTTTTGTAAACAGTAAGCTGACTCGTACTCGTACATACATTTGCTGCTCAAACTATTATGATTTTATGTATTATATTCACACAATTAGTGTGTATTTGCATTACTAATATTGCGAAGACAATAATACAGATTTCAACTTTACAGATACCAACGTTGTTATTGTCCTCGGAAAAAAAATATATTAATATTTAATGCAACTTACAGATCCGCCTGCACGTTTCCTTTTTAAAATATATCAATCTTTGTCCTGACAAACTGAAGTCTAGTCCCAGTTGAAATAAAACTCGTTATTTCTGATTGCAAATTGTTAAACATGAATTTCGGTCATAAAAGCCCCATGGAATTTGCATCCATGTTTTAATTAGATGCTGCACTAGGTAAACTGAGAATATTTTTCAAGAAAGCAAAAATGATGTTTTAAAATTATTATTCTTCACCATAGTCCATAAAAGGACTTTGAAAGAAAACAACTTGTGCAATGCATTTGGTACCTTAATTCAGTGTATTAGTCAACTACGTGTCAGCCTATCAACTTGACAGGTAACATTTCATTAGACTAGTGATTCTCATGTCGTTCTGTCACGGTGCAATAATCAACTAAGACTAAGCTTTTTGAGCAGTAATTTATTGCATTAAATCATATTGATTTTTTGAGCAAAGCCGTTTTATTCTTAATTTACGCTTTTTAATTCTTATATCAAATGAAATTGACGCATATTTGGCGCTTACGTATCGATTTCATTACAATTCTGTAATATGTTTTTCAATTATTTTGCTATATATATGTATCAAGCAATGCAAATTAGTTGCTTAAATAATTCATTTCCAAATAGGTACATATTGCTGTTATTCAGTATAATATTTGATTTTACCTTGAATTATCTTTGGCTTACAAACTTGGACTGTATTGTCAATATCACTTTTGAGTTACCACAACAGTACTGGGAAAATGCATTGTGAAAATAAAAGTCAGTATAGTGGATTCATGTGTAAATGTCCTAATTGCACACAACGCGCACATGTTTTTTCTTCGAATTTTGACAATATAATACGACAATCGTTGGTGCTGTTATTTAGCAGTAAATATTGACAGAGTTTTTGTTACGTAAGTTTACATATAAAGGTAACTTATATGATGGTTGGATGGTTAGAACAAAAGATTTGTTTAGGGAGTTCAAACTGTCTGAAACATTAGTTACATACTACAAAAAGAGTACAATTAAAGCAACAGGCAAACACAGTATTGTTTTTTTTATTCACTACGATTTTGACAAATTAAACTTCCTAATTCAATTCCTTTCGAGATTGTTGTACCACTTTATTATGTGATTGTGGTTTATCGCTACCACATGTTAGAATAACGTTCAACTTCATAATGCCCTTCATTTGTTATTCAAATATTTCAGTAATTAAAAAAAATTGTATTATAAGAATCAAATAATACTGACTACAATGACGGTCGATTATTATAACCTCGCAATAGTGAATAATATGATAAAAAACAACATCCTTTCAATCAAATCAACGTTAAATAACCTAAATGGATCTAATTAAATTTATATAAAGTACATGATGCAGTAACATTCAAAAGCAAAACTAATACCGTTAAATTTCCAACCATATAAAACCACGAACACGTCACGCAATTTATGTTTATTTCGATACCGAATCAGATTAGCATATGTAATAACATTTTCTTATGGTCATTGTTTATCCGAATTCTTTGTGAAAATTGATAAAAAATTGTTTGCTAATGGCCAACTTCCCATTAGTGAATTTGTATTATGTTAGTAGCTTATCAATTGTAAGAAATGAAATTATCGTCTTTAATGTCAAATAACCTTATAACTAATACCGAGTTGCATTAACAACTAACTTGTATAATAACATAAATAATAAATATATTTAACTTCTTTTCGTGTGGCTCTTATATACTTTCAATTAAAACTGAGATAACAAACTATATCCAATAAAGTACTTCCGATAAAGACCATGCTAATTCAAAAACTTTGTAACAAATGATAATAATATTCTAAAATAATTTTGAAATAAACCGTTCTAAAATGCAATATATTTCACATTGCGTAATTGAGCTCAACATATATGTGTATCTCAATTTTGCTGAACTTTATTTGTCATAATATCAGGATCAAGTATTTGGATAACACAACCAATTAAATATAGACTACCGGTGACCAGAACTTGTACATGGTCTGCTTCCATGACAGGTTGCGGTGGTGTTGGGTCTTCTGATCTGGGTTTTGGCAAATACGAATCCTTACCGCATGATAGCCACTGCAGAGCGTGTTTTACGCATTCAAATCTAACATATTTTGAAGAATCTTGATCTGACTCAGTTCTAGAGGAAGATTCTGGTGATATAGAGTCACGTTCCACCTCCTCTTGTAAACTTTGCCAGGCTTGTCTGTTTTCCTCGCATACGTCATGTTCAGCTTGTATAGGTATCTCAAGAAATGATCTATCTATAATATGACATAATAAAACATATCAAGACGATTGGCTGGCACATATGAGCAGTGTGGTGATATAATAAATTTAAAAACGGAAGATCAAATCTTGTCAATCATAGAAAAATTTATGCAAATAACATTTAACAAAACTCGAGTAGGGAAATTTGCACTGACCGACCACATGCGATTTCCAGGCAATCTTTTAGAGGGGAATATGACGTTTGGTTTGATTCACTTACTTTATCAAAATTGAACATCCACAAATGTGATATAGCACATTATTAAACGTGGAAATACGCCACAAATACTTGTTTGAATTCCACGCTCAGTTGTATATATCAATATAAGTTGTATATGCGAAATAAGCTGAAAAATTATTTGATTTTTATGTTACTAACTTTTAGAAGCTAATATGTTACGTTCATCAAACTTTTATCATAACATCAAATAATGTTGATGCATTGATTCGAGTTGATTGGCAAATGTAGACTGATTTTAGGTAAAGAATTCAGAGGTTGCTTACCGATTCCAATTACTGGCTCTCCAGAAACAATCTCTGTGACATTTGGACAGAAGCCAGCAGCAGCAAAATTACAAGGAATAAGATCTACCATTAACTCTTTGGGATCACGTTCGCGGGTAACATTGAACAACAGAACTTTCACACAACGTTTTCTGCAATGAAACATTGTAAAAATAATGTGTTAATGATTTAACAGTACAGTTGAAGTTGCCAAGAATGCTCTGTGTTTATAATGACGCTTGATAATAGACTCACATTTTAAAATGAATTACATGAGTTCATTGAAAACATTGTTTGAAATGTTTGATCTTATATATATATTGCTATATCATAGAGATTTATTCCACAATAAAATCCTAGTGACATGAGACAATGTCACCTAAGAAAGAATGTTCAAACAAACCATTCTACTGGATAATGGCTCTAGATAATAGATACTAGTTACATAACATACATTATTCGTGTTGCCATAATTATGACAATAATAAGTCATGATTGATTATTCAAAGCCTGTTACTTACATGTCCCTTGTATTTTCTAATGCCAGAAATATGACAATAATGAATCCACCGCTATATGGTTGAGGTAATGCTAATTTATACATACAAACTGTCTATAGTCTACTGAGTGTATGGTTAGTGCGCTGACTGTAACTGTTTGTCCCTTTACATACCCCAGCTGTAATTCTTCTTCAGATGCTGCTTGTAGAAACCATTTAACACACGCCTTGATACCCATTTCTGTATGAGCTCCATCCATATAGTACGTCACATTCTCACGTTTTATGATCTGTGTACGTGCTGGCCAGAAACAGTTGCGAAGTCCTGTGAAAATAGTATTTAAAGATAACATAAGGAAACAAGGAATATACTATATATAAGGTGCATTATAAAACATTCATTTTCTCTGTAATATACCAAACCTTTGTATGTATTTACTTATTTCCTGGTATTAATTCGGATCATTCTTGTATTATTAAGGAGCGGAAAATGCAAACAGGGTATCAAATATTAGCTTTATACAATATAAATGAAGTGATATAAAACATTTGATATAATAATACATAATGGATAATATTCTTCTACTCAAATTCATTTCTATTTACCATGCCTTATCATAATATCAGGACAGACAAATCACAATTCTATTTATTGTTACATTAGCAAGTACTCATTCATTTATCCGGTGTCCTTATGAATTATGCAACGGTTTTAAATCATTCCAGACGGAACTAAGTTTTACAGCGGATAAAAAGTCTAATTTTATTGTCAAAAATATTATTTTATTTCAAGGTAGCCATAGGGGGGAAACAAATTAAATATAAATCTGTATGCATCTTTTGAAGGCTTATAATTCAGAGAATTGAATATGGTATTGCAAATATATGGGATGTGCATCGTAACGCACTAGGCTGTTCTTTAGCTGCCTTGATTTCTACCTGCGACCAAATAACGACATATGTGTTATCGATATTTCATCAACCTAAGGTATAGATAGCAAAATCAAGACGCCGGTTTCTTGTTCTTTGTCAAAAACGTGTGCTCATACAAAATATAGAACAAAGCAAATATAAAGCAAAGGATGACATTAACTTTAGATTTGTAAGACATGCAAATTTGGCCATCAAGTAAATCCTCAGTCAATCACAATCTACAATCAAATTAATATAATCATTGCTTACCGTTTATAAATGCTTCTGTCAACTTGAATGCCGGAGCTATCGGACCACTGCATCTCACGTTGGCTTTGATGTGTATATCTTCAAAACTAGCGAGATCTAACATAATGAAAATTATAATGCGGAATATGTACTATGCGGAAACACTGTATATAATAAAGCATATGTTCTACTGGATCACATATGCTTAGTTTATGTTGGCAATATAACATCAAAAAGTAAAAGAGAGTCTAAACTTGGCAGAAATCGTCCCTATTTCACCTACAGGACAGATAGCTATTTTGTCGACAAAAGATCAATCTCACAGCATGTGTTTCACACAAGAAAATTACCAATGCCGTCGAAATAGATATTAGCCTTTTCTGTGCAATTCACGAGATTATGCGAAATTGTGAGGCCAAACATCAAAGTCACAGTATAGGTATATAAATGTTTGCTTTACGATTGCAGGGGTACTAGTGAATACTTTCAAACTAGGAACACAGTTCTATGCAACTGACAGGTTCAGGGGTCATTTGTGTGTGTGTTCAACGTTGAACTACAAGAGAAAATAGGTAGCAGAATTTCAACACACAAGCTTTGTGTGCAATTTGTATGAACCAGTTATATTTTCGAGTCCAATGTCACATGGTTTCTAAACACGTATTCGGTCATAACTACGTAATCATAATGCCTAAATGCTTAATGATCGGAGTGTTGATAAATTTTGGAGATCTCTAGTGCAAGTTTGCATCTTACCTCAAAGTTGTCTTTGTATAAGTGTGTGACAATGATACATGGAAATAAATGTATCCAAATGTCGTCCTCTGTGATTTGTATATTTTATTTCCTATGAAAATATCGGCAGCCGACGATATTCCAGAAATAGCCAACAGTTTACAAGGATAATCCATCTCTATGATTCAGAAAATCGAAAAGCAGAACACCCAGGCTTTGTTGTCTATATCTGGGACAAGGGCGTTGTTATGCATTATCTCAGCAAGTAACCAGAGCATATCCCAAATATCAAACTGTTTCTGATTGAAACAGCTAGAAAATCCTACTTGAATTAAAAACAGTAATCAGCTAGTTCATGATCAATGAACAGCTAGTTCGTGATCATAATCAAGAATAACAATCTAATGAATATATGGAGAATATCGGTGAGTGGGCTTCATTTGGTGTAGTCTCATTAAATTTTAGATAAGGAATGTGTATATGGGCAATTAAATGTCTGAGTCACATTTACAAGAGGCTTAGCCACTTCATCGAGGTTCGTTATAGTTGCAATGCTCTTCCAGTAGTCTCAATGGAAATAGTGAAGACAAAATAAACCCTCCAACAATCTAAATGATTCTTAAAGCACCCACTGTCTGTGGCTAACTACGAGTATAGTTGGAGCATAGCTTATGCATAGCTCCACCAATCATCATACTTGGCATAGAGCCTTACAACGCTATACAGCAGGTTGTTGTGCTGATTTTAGTCAGCTGCTACCACAATCGTGATGCCTGGACTATAAGGCTACTTATGCGTCTGGCCCGCACATCATTGAGAAAAAAATGTATTTTAGAGTAAGAACCCAGTTGCTTGGTTTTGCGTGTTCGCTTTAGAAAGTATTAGTAGTTATTGATGACCTATATCAAGGGCTTGTTTTGAAAAAGCTTGTAAGAGCCCTGTAGACAATCCTGGAGCTACTCTCCCGGGTCTATAATATAGGCATCAAAATGTGTACATATTCCGTTTTCCTATTGGCAAGTTTGAATGTACCACATTGTCAGGCAAACGGCCATAATATAGTGCAAGATGCTGAGGTAGGAAACCTCAAGCATATGTGTTTCAACAGCCAATAGTCGAGTAGGAATCCTTTGGGTATGACGAATTCACTAGTGGGTTTTCTACTGTTAAGTTTTCTGGAATGTGAGCGCTCTCGGATGCATGTCTGCCACAGCCATGCAGACGGTCAGTGGTTCTGAGATCAAGCCACAGTACAACACGTTAATGAGATATTCTTTAAGGAACACGTTTGCAAGATGCATATGACCATTGCCACTTCAGATTGTGACTGACTGCCAGTAAATACATTTCTTTGAATTTTTCCATTGCTATATAGTCCATAGCTGCAAATCTGGCTAGGAACATCCACAATCCTAATTTCCTAAAATGTGGGTTGAGCAATACCTAGGATTCCCTGGCAGAACCAGCAGCAGGTCCGCAATGGGCATTTGGATAAATTATATTCATTCTGCTGGTCGGGTATTTGAAGTTAATGATACAGTATGTGTAAATATCTTGTTAAATATATGTTGATCTTGCAGTGGTGCACAATGTGGTCGCAGAGATTTGTGAGGCGGCGTATATACTGGTTGTGCATCTTAATGACCATTCTCATCTCCATTGTTGCCCTGACCAAATGACTTGGACCAGAGCAACGTTGCCATTGCCCTCTCCAGTATACAGCAGTAGTAATTTCATCATTACTGCCACCAATGCCTTGCAGTGGACATTCTTTTTTGTTTAGTGGTGGTAGATGTCAGAGTCATCGATCGACATGACATCATGTCCACTGTTTTGCGTGACCTTTTGTATGGAACATACAGAATCTCTGTCATCATAATGTTGGACGTTTCTCTGCTTATATATACAGCAGAAATTGGCTTTGATAATTGTGTATAAGAAGCTGATTAAATAATAGATTTTGCTATGAAGCGGCTTTTGATATTTCAGCACCAGACTAGAAAATATGCCGAGGCAGACATTAGCACAACTGGCCAGGGTCGGCCATGCAAAGTTTCCCGAAAAATTCTATTTTTTATTCTACTGCCAAAAGAAGGCAAACACCACTCTGTCGAGCAAATTGTCCTTGGCATCAATCTCACAAACACGTGTATTGACAAACATTTGCTTGGGACAAGACAATCAAATGTTGGGGTTCGCTGGTTAGGCCTGTGTGAAAAACATTGTGCAACCCTTCTAGGAATCATTTGCTTTATTGTTTCTTAGTTCTTGAAGTTGCTATCAGCAACAGCAAGCTCGCTTCAAGCTTATTGACCTTACTATTTGTCGCGACAAAAAAAAGTTGTTTATCTTTATGTGAATATACCAATTGTGCCAGAACCTGAAAGTTCCAGTCACTTGGGGGTACAATATCATTGTTGACAAATAGGTTTGATCCCTTCTCCTTTGGATCCTGTAGAGGTGGTTTTAATATTGGTTTATGGTTGTATTGACACCAAATGTTGCAGTGGAAATGATTATTCCATTGTTGTAGCTAGTCACATTGCAAATGATACCTAGCGAACCACGTGAAAGAGAAACATTTTGTTCAGGGTTCTGTTACTGTTTTGAGATCATGGTCAAACACACCAAACCATGATATTGCACATCAAACAGCGAAGTTCAAAGGAAAGTGCTATCATCTTTCAAATGACTCGTATCAGCCTTTGAAAATGTTCACACTATTCTGCCTGAGCAGGTAGGTTTCGCATGTGCAAATAGAACTATATCGCGTCCGTCCGTAATTCGCTATTCTGGAATGGTAGTGTTGTTCTATTGAAAGGCAGTGATGCATTCAAATTATAAAATGCACAGTTAAAAGATCCGTTTTCTTCTCTTCACAGATTGGTAGGCAATAGAGCCTTTAAAGCCATTAGACATTAAAAACATTGGCTAAAATGACGGAACTTGACCGAGCATGAGTTGATTTGCGTTTGTGAAGTATAACAGACCAGAATTTTAAAAAATACAAAACGTCCTATGCCACGTACAGAATGCCATTATCTGGGGCCTCAGTAAAATATGATTGAAAATTAGTGGCAGCTGTACATGTGTTGCGTTGGGCCTAAGATTGGTAGGACAGACCCTAGTGGCATATCTAGATTTGCGGTTGTGTATATTCTTGGTGCTCAGCCAATAAATTGTTAGAGCGTTATTTTCACATATACAAGCGACGTGATTATTTGAATATTGTGAGCCAAACACTCATCTATTCCAGTTGTATTTGTTACTAATTTCTGTAATGATCAATTATTTATTTCAAGGGGATTTATAGAAACACATGTGTCCTACAACAAGTGTCACGACAAATAACGCCCACCATTGATTAACATTTATCCTGTACCGATTTCTCTAAACACGATGTAATACGATAGTGTGGTTCTTGAATAGTGATGTCTTCATGGACCAAATAAATGCAAACACTTTCAAGCCTCAATTGTATGGCCAGCCAAGGAAAACAAAATGAGATTACCACACCTAGCCATCATGGCAATTAGACGGACAAAAACCACCATGCCAGTGTGCAGAGACAAAGGATCATCTTGACTTCAGGTGAATGCGGCAATTTACAAATCACAGCACAGTTTGCACTTACAAGAGTACTTACTTGATTTATGCTCTTCAATCCATGATCTACATAACTGTATTGCTAAAGAAGCATTGCGTTTCTGATGTTCCCCTGATATACCAAGTTTCATAGGTTGACCCTGCCAATCATAGTCATCCAATTCAGGGACAAGATGAATCGGTGCCTGTGAAGTATGAAATACCAAAATGACCTCTTGACACTGACAAATCTTATTAAATGGCAATGTTTAGTAATACATTGTAATTTGGACACATCAGAATATTGAGGATGTCGATGTCGATGAACTTATGAAATAAATGACAACAAAAATAAGTTTTCCATTTATCTCACATCAGCTGTATTTTCTATTAATTTATATGTAAACAACACAAGCAAAAAATATGCTTGAATATTTCAATCTTAAGGCCATCAATGAAATTTTAGGAGAAATACCCAGATTTTAATTAATATCATTGTGTCTGCAACAAGTCTGTATTAGGTACTGTGATTGTTAATAATACACCTACGTTTAGTTCTTTCGCTCTAGCTAGTATAGTATCAACGGCCTCCTCAGATTGTGGGACTGTGAATGCCGGTCGACCAGGCTGAGAGATGACAAATTATTCTAGAGATTAATATACTTGTTCAATGTTTGTAATGATGGTAATACACAGTTTTTCAATAGTGGTTTGAAAAGATGGAAATTCTCGCCTGCAGAATTTTTCGATAGTTTATACAGAAATATTTATCAAAGAATAACATAATAACATAAACAAATAGAATGTATATCATTGTTGCTTACAAATATAATTATTCTAAAAATTGCTCAAACTATCATTCGACGTTAATGTCAGCTGTACGTCTCGATTCTATAATTTGTGTACCAACCTTGCAAATACCAGCTTTATGCCATGCTATTTTAGCTAGAGTGTCTCCCAAAAATTGCATATGATCGAAGTCAATGAGGTTTATGCCTGTGACTGTGGGCCTTCGGATAACGTTAGTGGAATCATATGTCCCACCTCTGCCTACTTCCATAATGAAAACATCCACCTATAAAGTAAATTTAAAACACAAATTTAATTTATCAGTAAATAGTACTACTAATGTCACTATAAAATCACGCAAATGGTGTTTATTAAATACAAGTTTGTTACACTTAAGGAGCAAAGTAATGATTTTACATTATTGTACAATTGTACTCAATTAAAATGGTTTCATGCATTCTAGTACTATTATAAACCTTACACAGACCGAAACAATGGATTATTCAGCCCAGACGATATTATAATGGCACAACGTATTGCTTGACTAACTTCTTTCTCGCTGAACCAATTACAACTATGTTGTTTGAACACCATTCAGTGATTGGTATATATGTTTCAGGGGCTCAGACTCACACTTCTTATTGCCACAACGTGTTCATCAGTTTATATCCATATTTAATCATAGGTTATATTGTTCTGAAAGGGGACTAAGGATGGTTCTAGTAGGGACCCATGAGCAACTGCTTTACTAACTCCCCGACTAATCATAAAATTGACGGTTCTGTCCGCATTACCACAGTAAGGATTACAGAAAAGTGACTTCAATGATTAGCATAGCATAAGTTAACACACACAAACACACGCACATACATTTGGAAGTGACATCATAATGATCATCTGTAGAATTAATACCAGTAATGGATATGCGATTATTTGTTCAACTGTGTCAGATTCCTCAAAGATAAAAAATATGTTACAAACCAGGATAACATGGATTCACACGTACAGTCACACATGATGTTAAAGTTAAAGGTTTAATGAATAATACCGGGATTAAATATCAATTCACCAAAGCTTCCACGTTAAACAAAATATAAGACATTTCGATAGGTGTGGCAAATTAAACAGGGTTTGATTGTCAACATTGTTAGTACATAATATCATTGCTCCTGACCAAAACCTAGTGTTTTCAAAATTGTTTTTAAATAAAAAAAAACATTCAAATCAATATTTATTCAAGTATCAGGCAAAAAAACTTACTTTTTCTTGTATGAAAGCATGAAGTGCCACGAGCGTCAAGAATCTGAAAATTCCCATACTTTCGAAACCGCCAACTTTCTTGTAGACATCAAAGAAATATTTTGTGAAATCATCTCTTGTCAGTGGTAAACCATTGATCCGGATTCGCTCACGAATTTCTATTAAATGTGGTGAGCTATGAAGTAATAATTTATAAGAAATCCGTATATGCGTTCACATAATCATATAACATAGTCTCTGATCCACAGGATTATGAAGATCGAAATTCAATGCTTACCTAAAAAATCCAGTTTTCAATCCATGTGCTCGCATTATACTTTCACAGAAAGCAGACACGGATCCCTTGCCCTTTGTGCCACTTATATGAATGATATTCAAACTATCTATATCATCTAGCTGATAAAAATAGCCAATAAATACATTGAAACGAAATGTGTGTTACCACAAAGCACAATGTTGGATTGTGTTGTTGAGCGATTTATAGTTTTTGTCCAACAAAATCTCATCATCGTCATTTTTTAAGTTCCGACATTTACAAAATTGTTAGTCTGAATAAATACTCATGCGACATTTTCTTTTCAAATATTTATCATTAAATTATCATTGATATTGATAATATGAAATGCATGTGGAAAAAGTATTGCAGTATGATTAATACGAATAAAACAAACGATAATCACATATTCGGGTTATTTAGGAAACGACCTTAACCAATAAGTCGTAAAATAAAACTACTATATATTAATTTCACCAATAATATGTACAACATATGTCAAATTCAAATATATGTATTCATCACTGGTGCGAGTCAATGACAAGAATGCTGGTTAAAGAAATCCACGTAAGTTCCTGGCTAATTTGCAATAATAAAAACATTTATAATTGGCAGATTATAATGATACTTCCATCTGACTCTAGTAAGAATTGTAAGGAAACGTTTGTTGTTGTTGCCAGTAAATTAAATGTGGACAGCAATGTACTTTTTACCAATATATGAAAATAGTAATAATGGTATATGTTTAAGATAATCAATTAAACTCACATTTAGTTCCGCCCTTTCTAAATGGCCTCTGAATTCTGTGAGACTTCTATTCACTAACCATTCGTTATAGTCGTCTACCTTCTGAAATGGTGTATTGCACAACCTGATAGCATCCTGTTAAGCAAAGTATCATCAAAAGTTGTACTTCGATTATGTGTCCTCACCAAGTTTGTATCATCTTTCGACTAAAGCATTTCAGAGAATTGAATTGCATTTAACTCATAAGTCCGCCATGGAATACATATATATCATGTTTCCATTATATAATACCTTGATGGACAAAACGACAAACTTTAAAAGATTTCACAAGAAAATTCCAAATTGAATGACACAAGCTTAACCTTACCATATATGTTTCCCCCAACATGTTTATATGTTACGTATTGCCTTATCCTTCTAGAGAATGTCTACAAAATACAGAGATATTGACGTGGTTTGCATTCAACAACATTCATGCTGTAAATGCTGCAGAAAACATTCAACATGCATTGATGTAATTTAGGTAGTTTATTGCTATGCGAACACATGTAAACACATGACGAGCACAACGCACTGCTCTCCAGCCCATGTATATTTATTTGCTTACCAACATGATCGATATTCATTGTCGTTACCTTGTAAAATTAAATTTGTTATAAAAAACACACATGCTATCATTGATACATCGATATTATACGTATAATGCCATATGTATATACAACCATGCTAGTTATATTTTGTAGCTCGGGTTGGAAATCGTTTTTGAAATCATACATTATTATTATAATGCCATTGTAATCCTTTTTTTAATAAAAACAAAGCACAGTATGTATAATTTTGATATGTGTATAACTTAACTGACCACGTTGCACCGTCCACTTATTGTAAAGTTGTAAATATGTATACCAAAAACGGTGGTCTGAAAATTATTTCATTGTTATCTCATGTTTCTTTAAGTTAGCCATATGTTACATAATACCCTTACCAATGACATTACGTTACTGTCCAAAATAATACTTTGTTCTAAAAATTCTTTTCAAATGCAAGAAAAAGCTAAATTGGTCATTCTGAGATAATCACCAACAAATTAGCATCTAGATTATAGAATAAATTCAATATAATTGCAAAATAATTGTATTAATATTTATTTTTTGTTTTTCTTATTATATGAGAGAAATATCCGATTCCGTAAAACTGAATACCTACTAATGTCTAAGTTATAATTTGTTCTTTGTAGTGAAATGTACCTTATCCTACAAGTATTTTATTTTACAAATAGCGAATGCGTACAACATGTATTTAGATTTATGAAGGAAGAATACAAGCATAAATCAGCAAAAGAGCAATATCGTCACACATTTGTTGGCCATTGGAATATTTAGGATTGAAAAAAAGTGTGCTACTACATACGTTTCGTGTGTTTTGATTGGCCTTGGTTGCCTGGGATAAAATATTCTATTTAGAGCAACACTCTGGCTTGACTTACTGGCTCGAAAATGAATATAAGTATCTTTTTTTCAAATTCCATGTGTGCGATTCCCTTATTTCGTTTTTGGATTGATGACTCGTCATGATGCCTTCACAATTTGTTTAATTTTTTTGTTTTGTTTTATCCGTGGTGACAAAATTGACTAAAATAAAATGTACTTTATTACAGTGCGTTAATACCATCAGATCGTTCTTTGCGTTTCAAAAATACCCATTTAACAACGATGCGGGTCAAACAAGCGGAGCTGGGAGAAGAGACATAAAAGCGAAGAAATCATTGTACCCTCCACATGATGTCTTGAAAGCAGAAGGGTCGTCACCTGCACGCGCGCGGGAATTGAGTCCCAAGCGACGATAACAACACACGCTAAAAATGAAAAGACTCATGGGTGAACAATGACACGCTATGGCCATTTGACGCATGCGCAGGTGACGACTCTAATGACAGTCCACACATACACATTTGGAATGGCTGGTGAATGGTCTGAAACAAAATAATTGCAATCACTATATGTTGACAAATATCTAAAATGGGGGTATCCAACAAGGACGTGGCACTGACGAAACAAACGTCAGTTTTTTTAAATATGAAAATCAAAATAAATCAACACATATATAATACACAATTTAAATTAGAAACATCATATTACCGCTACATTGTGCAGCCCGAGAAAATCTGGTATAAAACACAGCCACCAATGTGCGCTACAGTGAATATGCAATAAATTTACTCGGCTTAAGGTATTGATCTTCTCAAAAATGGAGATACCCACGTGACTGAAATAGGTTTTCGGAGGTTAATAATGTTCATGCCTAATATTATTCTAATTAAAAATAATATTAATTTTAACATTTTACAAACTGCATGGCGAACGTGATTCAAATATTTGTTGGTAAATTAATAATGTTTTGTATTGTTAGATTTTAAGCAACACATTTTTATATGTTATGATTTCAAAGAAAACAATTATTGTTATGTTTATGAAGGCAACAGTTATAAATCAGTAGATTTAGTATTTTTCTTAAATTAAAAGCGAATTCACCATGACATGGTAGGGTAAACTTCCATACGTATTGTTTGGTCTTGGTTTGCCTGGGATAAAATATTTTATTTCAAGCAACATTCTGACTCGACTTACTGCCTTGAAAATGAAGACGAATACAAGTATAATTCGTGCGATTTCTTGGTTTTCTTTCTGGATTGATGACTCGTCATGATGTCTTTACAATTTGTATTGTTTTGTTTAACCCGTAGTAGCAAAATTGACTGAAATAAAATGTTCTCGCTTACGCTTGAATGAATTATCAATACCATTAGATCAGTTCTTTGCGTTTAAAAAATAACCGTTTAACAATGATGTGGGTCGAATAAGCGGAACCAAGTCGCTTTAGACATGCATGTTTCCCTAAACGGAGCTGGGAGAATAAATAAAGAAGCAAAGAGATCTCTGTTACCTCCACTCGATGTCTTTAAGCTATGCCTTCAAGTGTATGTGACTGAAATATACATTTTTTTAGTAACAGCACAAACACATTTTGAATGGCCGATGAATGGTCTGAAACAAAATAATTGCAAGCACCATATGCTGACAAACATCAATCTAGAACGGGGGTAACAAGCAAGTATTACTGTTACATTGTTCAGCCCCACAAATTGAAATCAATAAACAGAGAATACTCACGCTTCAGAGTCTAGTATGAAACACAGCTACCAATATGCTCTATAGTGAATAAATAGCAATATACTCGGCTTAAGTAATTGATCCTATCAAAAATGGTGATACTCACGCACGTGACTGAAATAGGTTTTCGCAGATTAATAATGTTCCTACGTAGTATTATTCTAGTTAAATATAATATTAAATTTATCATTTTACAAAGTTTGTAAGTTTGTTACATAATAGATGTTTCAATTCATTTTCATAAAGCAGCAGGGCACACCTGATGCAAATATTTCTTAGTATATTAAAATATATATTGTATGTTTGGTTTTAAAGAAACACATTTCTATATATTATGATTTTAAAGAAAACAATATTATTGTTATGTTTATGGAAGCGACAGTTATAAATCAGTAAATTTAGTATTTCCCCTAAAATACAGTATAATATATTGTATTGTGAAGATTAACATTTATTGATGACGTAGCAATGTGACAAATACGTAAGACAGTGCTAATTTGCTCATGATTTTTCTAAAACGGGATACGTATGTTACCCATGACGAAGTTTGATGATCCACAAGACTCTAACTCAAATGTTCAATGTACAGAGGAGGTAAACATATAAATACTAATTAGAGATTTGTTTAAAAGGTCATGTTTGAAAAGTTCTATCTGAATCAGTTACACTGTGCACTAACAGTGGGTATTTAACTCGTCATTGTGTTTTTAATTAAATATTTTGCGTGTGACACCTTGGGTGTAACTCTTGGATTTGTTTATTGCATACGTACATCTTCAATTCTCTGTTCTAGGAAAATATTTGTGTCATGTTTTTGATATTTTTGACTCTATCCTAAAAGACTACCAGGTCTATTGTCTTGGTACTTAGTATGTAGGATCCAATTGTTGAGTCCTTATTGAGATTTGTAACAAGACACTAATAGCTATGACAACAACAACCATAACTACCATAGTCGTGATAGAACAAGAACATTTGGGAACAATAATAACCAAGGCAAATAGTTAATAGCCCATCTTACAGAACATTATCAACTTTGTTTTGGGGAAGACAATCTAGAAAGACGGTGGAGATATTTCGACCGTTATGTCGCTTGTTATAATTTAGAATGAAGTATTAATTTAGTCTATCTTTTGGTACATTAACTTACATGTCGTTTGTAGAGGCGTCACACGATTCAATGTAATGGGCGAAAATTGCATCTCTCATGATCCAACTTGTACTCTTAATGTAATTTTACCATATATCAGAATTTCATTCCTGAATCAAGCCTGAGACACCATTTACACCTCCGTATTGTTGTGTACATTTGCCCTGAGGCAGCCGTGTTTTTTTATTATTGGAAGACGCTCACGCGCGTAATCGTTCTATATTTGGAATTCACATTTCCTAATATGGTAGGATGAAAATACCGCTGTGACTTATGGCGTTACCGTGACAGATGTATGAATTATTATTAGAAAAATCTGCACACAACGTTCAGTTGTTTGAAGATATTTCAAATTACGCGTTTTTTATGTTAATACAAGGTACATGTATGACGTTTGAAGAGATATTGAATATTTGCAATGCAAATGGTATTCGATAATAACATAATGGGTTGTGGCAGAATATTCTAATTAAAAATAATATTAAATGTAGCATTTAGTACAAGATAGATTTTCGAATAATTTTCATAAAACAGGAAACACGTAATTTCAATAACGTTACTTTATTGTTATTCTGTTATTTTTTCTAATCGTATTGAAAACAATAATATATGTTTATGGGGAGGGCAGTTAGTAGATCGGAAGAATTTGTATTTATAAGCAAATTCCACAGGTAATTGGAGGTTAATATGGTTTATTTGTTTCTATTGTGTGTGTTTGTTAAGATATATCATGATATGATGTAGATATATGAAGTGGAAATAACATATCCAACTGCAGACCTGTATTATAAGTCGTATTGGGGGGGGGTTTACATGTTGAAAATCACAAAACAAATGACAAAAATCAACACGATCCACAAAAACAAAAATAACTGTTCACTTCACTCCATAGACAAATCAGTAAAAGAAACTACACTAACTTTCGGTTTTAATAGTTTGGATGAAAACGGACAATGTCTTTTTGAAACAGGCTTATCAAGTTGACTTCAAATTGTCCGGGGAAAACAATTCGATGATTCTTGTCTTTCTTGATTATGAATAGACATAATATTATGAATATATAATGGA